GCGCATGAAAGATCATATGTGTTTGTGTGCCTCGTCTTCAGAAGCACCAGTTTCTTTCGTGTAACACTGTATTGTTTTAGGAACATCATCCCTTTTCATTTCATCCCAAGAGCTCTAATGAGCACGGCGCTCATCTTATGCTAAGCACCGGTGACAAGTCATATAACTTCATTGGTAGATTTTAAAATTAATTCAAATGTTGACGTCCACCATAAGTTAATCCACCAATATATTTATACAGTAATGCTATGTAGCCCTAGTGGGGTTGCATCCCCAGTCTAGGTGACATTAAATGATTTGCTAAATTATACGTGAAATTAAATGACTTATTTAATTTTACATATCATTTAATGCCACATTAACACCACCTAGCATTGCTCGTATTTATAAGACACGCAATCGAGGCTTAAAATTATTTTTAACAAGTGGCCTTTATTTGGGCTATGTGAGCCTCTTTTTAATTCTCCCTCAATATCTCTTTCTAAAACTATCAAATTAACAAAAAACTGAAATAGAGAATAATATATAGCCCTCGTTTAAATCAAAATCAATAATTAATTTTAATTATATATTTCATGGAGTCCAAAACTTTTTAACTACACATTTAATCAAATTTTATCAAAATTTACTAAAAATTTGATTTTATCCGCACTAAAAATGGGCATAATAAGAATTAGAATGAAAAATTATTATAGTCACAACTCACACCATATCACTCAGTCGAATCAAAATCCCATCACGTATTCCCAAAGTCTCCATCAAGATTTTCATGGCTGTCTACAAATTGGGATGGACAAAATATTCAAATAATCAAATTATTTATTCGAATTCAATTCCTATTTTACTCAGAAAATAAAATGTCACCTCATGGTGCTTTAGTATTTGAATAATTCTACTAGTACATAAATAGTTGCATAATGATCCACATACAGATGAAATGTCAAAAAGAGATAGTGAGGAATTTTGTTTATTTGATTAAATAATTTTTAACTCAATCATATCTCACCACATCATGTATATATAAATCTATTATGTTCATATAGCACAATCGTTAGTGTTTTCACACGGAATAATGCAAAGTCGCCATGTTAGGTTCAGAATCGGCACCGACAACCGAAAGAAAGTTGATAATTTCAGGAAAGAAGAAAATTAAGTACAGACGGGAGACCAAGGCTGCAAGTAGATTGGAAGCAATGCTTTCAATAATGCACGTCTATTAGATTTTCAACATTTTCGACCTAAAAATCAATGCACTAGAATTCACTGTGTATATAAGAAGTTGGCGAGTGCTTTTCAAAAAAACAACTAGTAACGTGCTTTGAATAAAGTTAGTTGTACAAATATGGTTGACAACATTGATTGACAATCTTGTGTTGTCAAAATTTGAGCATTTGATGTAAAAAACAGTTTCTAAAATGGACGAATATGATGTTGTCATATAGGATGTTGTCAACAAAGATTGTACAAGTAGCACGATTGTTTGAGTGATTCACTTCTCATTTGCTCGTGTTGTTAAACTAACAAATGGATGGAGATATGTTTTAATTTGTTTATTTTANNNNATATGTTTTAATTTGTTTATTTTATTTTTATCTTTTAATTAAATACTTTAACTTTAGTAGTTATTTTGTCATTTTTAGTAGTTAGGATTTTCTCTAGGATTTGCCACCTTTTAAACTCTTTTAAGAGCATGTTGTTTTCTTTGTTGTTTCTTATGATCTAAATAAAATTGGAGTTTTCTCCAATTGATCAATCTTATTCTGCGAAATCAACTAAATTTGATTAGTGTATATTCATTCTCACTGAATCACAATATAGAGTTTGTAGACTTAGAAACAATCTTTGGAACAGACGCACATATATATATCAAGTATATCAACTACTATTTTTTTTTCCCTATTTTCGTCTATGTTGTGACTAAATATTGACAAGTTGAAGTTGACAATTTTCACAGAACATGCCTATATATTACAAGTTTTTAATCTGTTCATGTATTTGCCTAGCTATTGTAGTGGAATGCAAATTTGATAAGGCTAATGAAATATCCCTTATTCAGTCATATTTTTCTCTCTCATCACTTATATATAAAAATCAAAAAGGCATGCTACATATGTAGTTATCACCATATTAATTAGTTCATTCTTGTCTGCAACTCCGTTCATATAATAGATTGAAAATACTTTAAAGAGTATATTTACACGGTTTTGGACTATCGGAAACTTGCACTTCTCTATTTACTCACTATTTAATCAACGAGACAATTAAAGTTTATTGTGAATATTCATGATTTAGTTTTTTTTTATTCTTTTAAAATAGATTATCAAGAAGTTCATGTTTTCTGAAAAAAAGTATTCCTCTACCATAGTCAAAGTAAACTTTCCCTATCTATTATTTAGAATGAATGGTTAGATTAATAGTAGAGATGATTATAAATATCGATATTAGAAAAAATATCTCTATTTATACTGTGACTTGCTGATAGGGATCGAAGATATATGTTACACGATTTTTGCAAGAAATTGGAATCAAATCATAACACATTTCATTCACATGATTAATGTTGTCCGCTAGAAATTGTTCACACACTTTCTGCAAGTGTTGGATGGGAAACCTAGTAATTGTCCACTTGTCATTGGATTTGTCCAGTGTTAGGTGGGAAGTGTAATATCACTTTTTTTCTAAAACATCCTTTTCATCTACCAAGTGAAATGCAGATTTCTTAATTTCTCTGTTCAACTAAAATTTTAATGAATTTTAAAAGTCCTTTCAAATTTAAGTGTTGTCAATTGAGATTTGAATGAATTTTATTAAAATTTAGATATATCCAACTAAGATTTTAATGAATTTCCATGAAATCCTTTAAAATGTAGGTATTCTCATTACATCGTAAATTTATAAAGATTTAACTAATAAAGGAATTTTATGAGATTTGAATGGATTTCAATCTTAAAAATACGCATAACAAATCCTTTTGAAATCTCACCGTTTTAATGAGATTCATATGAATTTCGTGTAAATCTATTCAAATTCACGAAATTCATTAATATTTATAATATTTTAAAATCCATTAAAGTTTTAGTTGAGAGAACACTTGTAACGCCCCAAATTTTATT